AGAGAGAGAGAGAGAGAGAGAGAGAGAGAGAGAGAGAGAGAGAGAGAGAGAATTTCTTCCAAAATGTCCCACTGACTCTCACGAATAAGCAAACTGAACAAACACCCTGGAGAGAAAAACAGCAATAGGAGATTTTTACCTTCTTTTCTTCTCCGTCGCCGGCTCTAACCTCTGATCTGTTGGGGGGTCACGGTCAATATCAAGGTGAAGGCCGTCAGAGCTACTACTGTAATGGTCTTTCTTGGAACTGCCTGCTGGCGCTCTCAGTTGACCCTTCTTTTCATTTCCGGGGCGCTTGTTCCGCATGGCACTTTTGTTTTTAGAATCTTTGGAGATCTTCAGAGGCGGTATAGACGTGTCTTTTTTCCGACTGTCAGAACCGCTACTGTAATCCTCTTTATGTTCAGACTTTCTGTCCGATTTCTTACCCGACACTTCGGAGTCATGGCCGTTCGTTTGGGCCTTTTCGTCGGCAGCAGCAGTCGTAGGTTTGGCGTTGGCAGATCCCATGGCAGTAGGGGACGCGGAGTCGCGTGAGGTCCGTATGGGAGGGACAACTGCGGTCTTGTTGAGACTCCTGTCGTCTTTATCGCTGTCTCTAAGGCTCGTCTTTTCAGCACTTTTGTCGTTATCGTTACTGTTGTTGTTGTTGCGTTCGTGGGGTTTCGTTTCGTCTACGGGCGTTGTGCGCTTATTCACTTCCGCGTCTTCTTTACCGCTGTCGTGTTGATCTTTACGAGAGTTGTCATTCTCCGATTTTTGTTTTTCAGCGAAAGCCTTTTCTGAGCTGTCTGAGGACGTTTGCTTCTTCCCCGCAGGACTAGCGGCCTTGGCCGTATGAGCACGAGCCCGCTGTTTGGAGGCCGGGTACCTCGCGCTGCGGGTAATCGGGGATTTCCGGACAACCCGAGTGCGCCGTATGACGTCACTGCTCGACGACTCGATGTCGGAAACGTTTCCGTGAGAGGAAGAGCGCGCCGAGTGAGATTCCTCGCTCTCTGATTGGCTGTCGGGACCGGCAGTCGCTGCCGTCTGATGACGTGTGTCGTCTCCTTGAGATTCATACGACTCCCCACCGTTGAGTCTCGTGTCTCCCTCGGTTCTGGTTTGACTCACGCCTGTCGCAGTAGCTGCTTCAGATGTCGCTGCAGGCGATGTGGACTCGGGATCTTTGTCCTCAACCTTTTCATCAGACGCCTTAGTATCTCCTTGTTTCTCCGGGGAAGTTTTCGCTGATCCGGTTTTATCTTTTCGTTTCCCCTTCACGTCAGCGGAGTTTTTGGTCTTGGTCTTCCCTTTTGTCACGTTCCCCTGGTTTTCCTCCTCTTTTACGTTGGACAACTCAGCCTTGAGAGCTACAGACGTGACCTGTGTGCCGCGCTCTACGTACTCCGGGCCTGTGGAGCCGTACTCGGCGGTCTCCTGGTGGTCACTTTGTTCAGCACTGTGTTCATCGGTGTGTTCTTGTTGGTGTGCGTCTGTTGGCACAGCTACATGAGGCGGCGCTGCTGACAAGTCGACTTTCTCCTCTCCAGTGTCTTCGTCTTTAACGATTTGAGCTTCCGATTTTTCAACCTCCTCCTCTTCTTTCTCAGCTGTCTTCTCTTTCTCTTCTATCTGTTTTTTCGATGACGTAGAGGAGTTGTCCTCTTCTTTCTCCTTCTTCTCCTTCTCCTTCCCTCCTTTCTTGACCTTTCTCCCTGCAGACTTCCCACTACTGGCCCGCTCACCGCCCGACTTGCTCTTCCTCTTCTTGTGGTACCGGTAGCTCAGCTGTATCGTCTGGGCGGCATGGCTCGTCACCTCCGACCCCGGACGACCCCCGGCACCCACCAGAACGTCCTTGGCCTCTGAGTGACCTTTGATGAGAGCAGCGTCGTACGGGCTGTAGTACTTGCCCTGGAAGATAGACAGAAACAACAGAATGAACCAAGTTCTGATAGATAGACAGAAACAACAGAATGAACGAAGTTCTGATAGATAGAAGGGAAAAACAGAATGAACCAAGTTCTGATAGAAAGACAGAAACAACAGAATGAACCAAGTTCTGATAGAC